CAGATAGTGGCATACCAGACAATTATCACAAAGACAACCATCTCAACTATAATCACCTACTAGTGGGCCGACATTGGTGCCTTAGACCCACTTCTACTGGAAGGCAACTCACTTCACACTGCTGAAGTCCTGCGGACAAAACTCTAGTTGTTAGATGACAGATTCCCGAACTGTCAACATCAAAATAACACCCAATTAATAATTGGGTTCCAACACATAACCATAAGTCCATGCTTGGAGTAAAGGACTACTTTACCCCTAACTTAGCTTGATTCACCCAAGGACCAATCCAAAGGCCCAAAAGTCGAACAATGAACCAAAGCCCAACATATGGCCCAATTTTCCAAATTAGGCCCAAACCTCTACATGGTCTTACCCTAAGGCCCATCCATTTATTCCAGTCCAAAAATATGGCATTCCAATGGTCCAAAATCTCATAATCATCAAGGCCCAGTTATGGCCCATCTATGGTCCAATTTTCCAAATTGGGCCCACACCCTCACATGGGCCTTACCCTAAAGCCCATCCAAATATTCTAGTCCATATACATGTTCTTGGATAGCCCATCAATAGCCCAATCACCAAAACCCAATATAGAGAGGCCCAACTCAAGGCCCAAAGGAAATTAGGGTTTTCACATAAAATGACGATTAGGGTTAAGTGTTCCTACTTAATCCATTAAGTCCATCATCTTACTAGGTAAATCATATGGTGAGATCGGGTGTAATTCATAATTCAATTCCAATGGCCCAAAACGCGGGTCCCGATAAGTCCAAACCAACAAATCCAAAATTAGGGTTTTCTAAACCCTAATTAGGGTTTCCAACCTAATCGTGTGCCCATTAGTCAAATGGTTAGGTTTTTAGGTCAATTAATGTTTCATTAGGTCAACTAGGGTTTCCTTAGGTCAATTTTGGTTTCATTAGGTCGAGCACCACCCACTGCCACCTCTAGGGGTGTTCAAAAATATTCGTATCCGAAATTCCGAAATTCCGAATCCGAATTATCCGAAAAATTAGATATCCGAATTTTCGGATATCTGATTTTTCGGAATCGGAATTGGATAGTGTTTTTCAGAATTTTCGGATAATTCAGATATCCGATATCCGAAAAATTTGATTTTAGTTTATACATTATTTATTATTTTAGTCACATATGTCTTATGATATGAATGTTAGTAACTAAAACATGTTTATAATACCCTTAATTAAATATCTATATTACTTCATATGCATTTCTAATTTAAAAATATGTCTTTTTAATTTAAAAACTTCATATGTCTTTCAAATTTTAACAAAATTTCAAATATTCGGATATCCGATTTCGGTATCCGATTCCGTATCCGAAATTTCGGATATCCGAATTTCGGATATCCGAAATTTCGGATACGGAATCGGATACCAAAAATCAACTATCCGAAATTTCGGATATCCGGTTATGAACACCCCTAGTCACCTCAGGCGGTGGTGGTCGACTGCGGCACCCGGCGGCAGCCACCACCTCACGGTGGTGGTAATGGTTCTAGTCCAATCATGTCTAAGCATCCCAAAAGCAATCTAAACACATGCAAAGCACACCGCCACCCAACACGGTGCCTGGTGGTGGCTGATGGCGGCAGCCACCACCCTATGGTGGTGGTTATGAATTTCCTTGATTATTCTAGTCACTAATTACAATTATACAACACAATATCCCAAAATAACCACACACAATAGGATACACATGTACCCTCAACCACCCTTATGGCAGCAGGCGGTGGTAGAGAGTGGCAGCCACCACCTCACGGTGGTGGTGGTGGCTTTTCTCGCGAATTTCGGCCAAACAACCACCTATACGGCATACTCTCTAGTGGCAGAAGCACACCCACACGTTTGCTCGGAAAATAAACCCAGCCACCCACCTGGTGGCGTATGGCGATGGCAACAGCAGCACTAGCGGCAACAGCGGCGTCTAACGAAAGGAAGAGAAGATAGATGGTGGCAGCGGTTCTCACGGTGGCCACTCGACCTCGCCGGAAGGAAAGGCAGCTGCAAGAATGGAGATGTGCGCAACAATGCAACAGTGGAACGGTGGTGCATCTTCAACCGATAGTGGCGGCTCATCCATAGGTTCGCTTATCCGGCAGGGATAGTCACGGCGTCCGACGATGGATGCGTCTTCGATCGGCAGCAAAACGGCGCCGGTGACTTCTCGGTGGTTGACGACGGGTGCTCCGGTTTAACAGGTAAAGAGGTTGCGCCGAAAGTCATAGGAAGGAGGGTAGTGGCCGGTGGTTAGGGGTTATAAGGTGGCGGCTGATGTATAGCATTAGGGTTAGGGTTCATGGCATGGTGACGGGTTTATATACCCGGTTATGATCATCTTCCCCATATTTACATTTCCATCCCCTTTCATCCTAATTCCTTTCAAATAAAGTTTGTAA